AGAAATAGAGCAGTCTAAGTAAAGAAAGAATAGGTAGTGTGAAGTGGAGGGTACTATTATTTAATACAGTGTCACAAAAGAAAGGCCTCTCTGATAAGGTCGTACTAGAACAGGGCACTTGGAAGGGTAGTAAGAGAGTGAACTAGGTATTCCAAACAGGAGGAATAGGCCTTGCAAAAGCATCAGAAGGGAAGTTTATTACATATTGTCCAAACAAACAAAAAAATAGCAAGGAAACCATTTTGTGTATAGAGATTACCAACTCATTTAAGAAATATCAAAGGAGGGGCCGGCAAGTGGCATGGTGGTTAAAGGCGCTGGACTCCCACATGGCCGACCACGGTTCAAGTCTCGAACCTGGTGGCTCACTTTCTCACTTCCTCTCTATCTGTCTCTCTCTGATCAAACTGGAAAATAATAATGATAATAATAAAGTTAAAATAGAATAATTATTTTTTAAAAAAAGAAATATCAAAGGAGAAAATGATCTTACAGGCCTTGATATTAACTTTTATTTTTTTTTAATTTTTTTGGAGAGGTTTTTGCTGTAGGGTGTGTGCGCTCGCCAGAAAGAGACAGAAAGTGAGAAATCCCCCCCCCCCGGGGGGGGGGGCGGATGGCCACGCTGCAATCCCTTCTCCTCTGTTCTCCTCTTGGGATCTTGGGCACGCACGCACATGCACCCAGCATGGGTTTAAGCCACCGGGTCCAGGACTTGAACCGTTGTCGACTACATGGGAGTCCAGTGACATAGCCATGACGCTAACTGCTGGTCCCATTAACTTTAGTTTTTGTTTAGAGAAAACTCAGAAGCCACTAGATAGTTTTTAACAGAAGACAAAGTTTTCTGCCTTATACAGTTGAACCTCACAATTTTGGATTATGCAGATTAACTTATAAACAATTTTTTAAAATATATTGGAAAAATTTTTGGAGATTTGTGACAGTTTGAAAAAAACTTATGGACAAACTACATTGCCTAGACATACTGAAAAAATTAAGAAGGCCAGCAAGTGGTGTGGTGGTTAAAGCACTTGAACTCCTGTATGGCTGACCACACTTTGAGTCCTGGACCCAGCAGCTTGAAAATCATTGATGGCTCGTGTGTGCAGGCCTAAATCCCTAGAGTAGAATGGAAGAGAAGGAACTGTGGCATCACCATCCTCCCGTGGGTGATTTTTCACTTTCTCTCTTCTCTTTCACAGTGACCAGTAAACACATACACCCTCTAGCGAAAACTAAACAATCAAAAGGGGCCAACAGGTGGCACAGTGGTCAAGGCACTGTATCCCACATGGCAGACTCCATTGTTTGAGTCTGGACCCAGTGACTTAAAAATATACCAGGCTCTGGATTACTGCATGGCCGACCACAGTTCAAGTCCCAGACCTGGCAACTTACTTTCTCCCTTTCCCTTTCCCTCTCTCTCTCTGTCTCTCTGTCTCTCTGTCTCTGTCTCTCTGGTCAAATTTTAAAAAATAACATTGAATTAAATACACACACACACACATAGGTATATACTACTTGGCTTGTGCAAGTGTGCCCAAAATCCCTAGAGGAGAATGGAGAAGAGATTCCAGAGGGTGTTGGAAAGAGGCAGAGAGAGAGAGAGTACCCTCATGAGGCATGGTCATGCTGCAATCCCTTCTCCTTCATTTTTCCTTTCAGGATTTTGGGTACACACACAAATGCCCAGCATGTTTTTCAAGCCTCTTGGTCTGGGACTTGAATCACACTGTTGGCCATGTGGGATTCTGCCACCTTAACCTAACCTTGCAGGGGCTGCCCCATTATCATATCTTTCAACATAACCCTGTACATCATGCCATTCCCAGTTAAAAAAAAATGTAAATAAGCAACACTGGAGTATTAAATCATAACCTCATAAGATTAACTGCAGTACTTTACTACTATAGTAATTTTGTAGCCACCTCTTGTTGCTATTGCAGTGAGCTGAAATGTTGGGAGAATCTACTTAGAGGTGCCCTGTGACACTAATCATTTCAGTGTGAGCAGTTTGTCTCTCCAATAAATTGTGTATTGAAGTAAAAAATGATCTCTTGCGATTCTGGTGTATTTTTCATTGTGTTCAGTGCAATACCATAAACCTTGAATAACACTATGGGTCCCATGTGAAGTGCCACTAATGGTGCTGAAAGTGCTCCCATGAAGCAGAGAAAAGTCATGACATAATAAGAAAAAGTTGAATTGTTTGATCTGTAACCATAGATTGAGGTCTTCAGTTGCTCACCATTTCAAGATAAGTGAATTAATCCAGTGTAAGGACTTTTTTTTAAAGGGAGATTTGTGAAGTTGTTATTTCAGCTACACCACCAGGCACAAAAATACTACATTTTTGAAGAATATCTTTTATCTTCAAAATGCACCTTTGTGAGTGCAGGGTTGCTATAAGAAAGACATACATAGACTGAATATAGCATATAATACACATAAGCTATAAAGTATGTATTTAGTGGGCCATTTTATGTTAATGGTGATGCTTCTTGTCAACAGTAAGCTATTAGTAGCTATTCTAGTCTACCGTAAGCTATTAGTAGTTAAGTTTTGGGGCAATCATGGAGTTTTGACTATGTGGATACAAACCCGTGTTATTTTAGGGTCACTTATATATTCTTTTTAAGAATTATCTATTTTAAGTTTATTTATTCATTCATTTTATTTTAATTTGAACAGAGAGGGAGAGAGATTGGGAAAGTGAGAAAGCAAGCCACCAGGTCTGGAACTCGAACTGTGGTTGGCTGTGTGAGAATGTCCAGTGCCCTAACCACCATGCCACCTGCTGTTCCCTGGGGTTGCCTATATTTTTAAATGATCATCCTGGTTCTTGTGTTAATAATAGGCTGAAAAAGGGTCAAGGACAGGAGTGGAGAGATCATATATTGTAGAAAGATGTTAACACAAAATCCAGGCAAGAGGTAATGGTGATTTAGATTAGGAGATAGTGTAAGTGGTCAGATCCCAAATATATATATGTGTATGTATATATACATTTGCGTGCATGTGTGTTGTCAGAGGGCACATGCACTCACCAAGAGAGACAGAGATATCATCGCCCAATGAGGTCATGGTCATTTATGGTCCTTCTTCCTCCACTTCTCAATCTCTTTGGGGTTTTGAGTACACCCGTTCACACATACCTAGTGTGTGTGTTTTTCAAGCCACTTGAGCTGGAATTCAAAGCACCTCTTGGTATGTAGCCCTTACCTACTGCTCTATAGGGCTGGCCCTCCAAATATATTTTGAAAATAGAAATATCAGTGTTTGCTGAAGGATTGAGCTCTTGGTCATTGCAGGGTATCTAGATTTTGTTGGTTTTTGTTTTGTTTTTAACTGTAGAAAATTTACAAACGTAAATAAAAAACAGTCATCTTTTATTTTCTATTAAGAGGTGACCACCCTTGGGGCCATCCAGTGGTGTGGTGGTTAAGGCAGCTGAATTCCATATGGTCAACTGCATGGTTTGAGTCTAGAATCTGGCAGCTTGATAAATGCTGGGCATGTGTGCATCCACGTCCAGAATTTTAAGAGGAGAATGAAGAAGAAAGGATTGTGGCGTACGTAACCATCTTCCTGTGGGGAATGCTTTCTCACTTTCCCTCTCTCATTCTCTCACTCTCTCTGGCAAGCACACACACTCTGTAGCAAATGTTTTTTTAAAAATTTTTTTAAAAAGCGATTACAGTTTCAGTTTTTATATGGTTTTTATTTATGACCATTCTAGTTTTTTTCTGTGTGTGCATAGATGTAAATACATGTATAGTGTGTTTAAACAAATCTTATATGATCATATTCCTATACCATTAGATATCCTCAATATGCTGTATATTGTTTCATTGTATGGATGAATTATAGGTTGATTTCATATTAACATTTAGGATGCTTTTTATTTTTTTTACTGCTATATATAACATTTGAGAGAACTTCATTACATTTTTTAAGGAAAACGAATTTCCAGCCACCCTTTGACATTTAGTATTATGCACAAGTGAGGCTTAAGAAGCTCATAAGTAGCATCTCTTCTCTGCTTACAACTTAATTGACTTTATGACTTAAGGCAACTTAGGCTCCAAATAAAAATATTATACCTCTAACTCACCCTTTTGATTTTGATACAGGGTGAGCATCTTGAATTCAAAAGTCTGAAGTGCTCCAAAATCCAAAACTTTTTGAGTGTTGACATGACACAAGTGGAAATTTTCACACCTGACCTCATGTGATGGGTCACAATATGAACATTGCTTTAACAAATATTGCATAAAATTGCTTTTAGGCTGTGTGTATAAGGTGTATATAAATGAAAAATAAAATGGGACTGGTCCCCAGAGCCTAGTGGTTATGGAAGCCAGATCTTACATGCCTGACTGCACCTCAAATGGCAGCCTCAATGGCTTGAAAAAAAACTGGATGTGTGTATTTGCACGTCCATAAGTGGGTTTTAGAGATGGAGAAGAGTGTAGTGTGACAACACCCCATTAGAAGGTACTTTGTCTTCTCTGTTTCTTTCCAGTGAGCATACATACTTTTTGGCTTATAGTTAAAACAACAAATGAATTTCTTGTTTAGATTTGGGTCCTATCCTCCAAATATATCATTGTGTATATGCAAATATTCTAAAATCTGGAAAAAATCCAGAATCTGAAACACTTCTGGTCCCAAACATTTCAAATAAGGGATTCTCAACATGTACTAATACATGAGTCTTTCTCTGAACTTCATACCAATATTTAGGAGATGTGCTGAAGTGTGAGCAAAGGAATTATTTTCAGTGAGTATATTAATTTCTATATTATACTCAGGAAAATAAAATCTGTTATAATTTGCAAAGACTTATATATTTTCACAATCTACATTTAGTTTGTGATTAAAAGTTACTAGACTAGTAGCCAGTTTTAATAATCAGCATAATTACCATTATAATGACCCTTGTTATTTTGGGTACAGTAATGCTTCTCTCTCTTTTCTGGTCTCATTTTATGTAGTTTGCTTCCATCTTTGCTTTTGCCACCTGCGGAGGTTTTAAGGGCAAAACAGAAATTCAAGTGAATTGTCCTGCTAAAGGAGTTAAGGAAAATAAAACCATTACAGCCGCTTTTGGTTATCCATTCCGGTGAGTTATTTATTTGTTTTATAGTTTTAACAACTTTTAATTTTCATATTGGCTAAGATGTCCAGTAATTTATTGTTTATTGGGGGTAAGAAATTTAGAAGGCATACTCATTTGTAAGTGATCATTAGTACTCAAACTACTCTGTACATTTTTACTGGGCAATGGTAGAATAAATACAGAAAGAAAGAGTAAACACTTAGAAACATGTATAGCAATATGACATTGACTTGAAAAAATTGTTAATTTGGTAGAAGGTGTGTGTGCTTGCTAGAGAGAAAGAAAGAAAGTGAGGACATGAGCACCACCAGGGGGAGTGATCACATCATAATCCCTTCTCCATTTCTCCTTTTGAGATTTCAGGCATGCTTACATTCCAGGTGGTTTTTTTCAAGCTGCCTGATCCAGGATTCGAACCATGCAGTCGGCCATGTGAACTCCATCTGCCTTAACCACTACACCACGGGCTGGCCCTGCCTTAGCATTTTTATTTTACCGTTTCACAGTAGATTGGAAATTAAAAAACAAAACAGATTGATCTATCCACCTTACTGTGAAAAACTCTAATGTTTTGTAGACGCTAGTATGACTTACAAAAATCCAGAGTCTCATCTTTTTTGCAATTACTAAATAATAATAATGGTTTTTATATTGTTTTAAGACATGTAGTTATACAAAGTGAATTTCTGTGTTTCATTCACTAGCATTAAATGATACTTATAAAATCTTACCCCTTTATAAAGTAAAATTAATATTTTATATATGAAGTTTTCTGTTCTCAGTTCACATTGAAAAGTTCATTGAAGGGACCAGCAGTTAGCGTAATGGCTATGTTGCTGGACTCCCACGTAGTTGACCGTGGTTCAAGTCCCAGACCCGGCAGCTTAAACTCATGCCAGGCGCGTGTGCATGCGTGCCCAAGATTCCAAGAGGAAAACGGAGAAGAAGGGATTGCAGCGTGGCCATAACCCCTGGGGGGTGATTTCTCTCTTTCTATCTCTCTGTCTCTCTCTTTCTGGCAAGCACACGCACCCTATAGCAAAAACCTCTCCAAAAAAAAAAAAAAACTTCATTGAATATGTTCTGTATTTAAGCTAGGGTATGAATATTCTTCTACTTACTAACTTTACTTATCTGACCTCTCTAGGGCTTAATTTTTCTGTTCACAAAATTGGAAATACTACCTTTTAAGGGTGTTTTAACATTAAGTAAAATCCTGTATTAGAAATATGTTATAATAGAGACCAGACAATAGTGCAGTTGTAAAACGCAGTACTTGCTAACTCACATGGGAAAATTCTGGGTTTGTTGGAGACATCCTTAAGTATTCAGGCACTCATGTGCCCATACTCCAAGGCTGAGGCTCAGTAAGATCTTGACATTAAGACCCTGTCGGGGCTGTCTCTTTGTGTCTCTCTCACTCACAGAAGAAATACACTTTTTAAAAAAGTTTAAAAAGGGCCCAGCAGGGTGGCATGGTGGACATGGCCAACAGCAGTTCAAGACCTGGATCCAGTGGCTTGAAAATCTGCTCCGGGCACATGCATATAAAAGTTAAAAAAAAAATCAGAAAACAGTTCTTCATAATCATTAAAGCCTCTATATCTTAGATGTCTTCTCCCATACAGCATCTGTACAAGAAACCAGCACCGTTAGTGACAAGTATTTTTATGATTTTTGTGATTTATGATAGAGAAAATGAAAGGTATTGTGAATTTTTAGTTAGCAATTAATTAATCCAGGGTTAAATTTGTAAATCGTTACAGTTAGCTCTTGTGGGGCTCTTGTAGGGCCAGTCACATAGACTCTGCCTTCTAGATTGGAATATCTTGTTTCAAATTGTAAACTGTTTGGTATAATTCCTCCAAATCTACTAATTTTTTATTTCTAGAACATAGTGTAGAGTTTAATTCAGTCTGTATTCAACCTCTCATAAATTAAATTAATTTCTGTACATGTATTAGGAAAATTTCAGCTTATTTGAATTATCCTTTTTTTGAAAGAGGAAAGAAATTTTAATGTATTTGGGAAGTATTTTTTTGAAGTACCATTTGAAGATTCTGCCTAAGTATTTCTGTCTTTGTTAAGAAAGGCCAGTAATAGTTGATATATTTATTTGAGTCTTCTTTTACTAGGTTGAATCAGGCATCATTTCAGTCGTCTCCAAATGTAAATGTGTGTGATGTAGTTTGGAAAAACCATGTCCTCATAGGAGATTACTCTTCTTCTGCACAATTCTATGTCACATTTGCAGTCTTTGTGTTCCTGTACTGCATTGCTGCTCTTCTTCTTTACATTGGTTACACAAACCTTTATCGGGAGAGTCGTAAACTTCCCATGATTGTAAGTAATCACTTTTTTATATATATAAAAATAATTTATGTAAGTATAATCTAAATATATTTTAAGTTAAATGTAGGATTTCTTACACTGGGAATCAGAAATTTTGGTATAAGCGTTTTAGCCTACTTACATTCTAAAGAAAGTTTGTTTTTAACTCTGTTTTTACCTGGAAAGAAATTCAAATATGTAATAAAGCATATTAATTTACAGACAACAGAAAAAATAAATAGAAATTAATGCCTTTACTTTGAAGAAATACTGAGTATGCCAGTGTTTTAATGAGTAGGTTCCTACTTAATACCTTTTCCTCTTTAATCAAAAGCCCCATCCATAGCTCTATAATATCTTACTGAAATTGTCCATATCAGGAGCCAACAAATTGTGGCACGCAACTCAAGTCTGACTCATTGTCTTTTAAAAAAAATTTTTAACACAGTCATATTTAATTATACATTATGTGTGGCTCATTTCATGCTATAGTAATAGTATTAAGTATTTATAAAGAGAAAACAAAAACTTGCCCTTTTTAGAAAATGTTGGCTCTTGGTCTATATTCCTAAGCTCCATAATTTAAAATAGGACCCAGATAATTCTTATATTCAGCATCAGTGGCATCCAGTGCTAATTTTGAATTTTTGAAATGTCACCAAATATTTGGATTTGAAGTCCTAATACCTTTCTTGGCTTTAGAGTCTACTAAGCTAGAAATAAAAGAATCTCTGAAATTGAGATATAGAATAGAATCTGCCCTGGATTATCAGTGGGAAATCTAAAAATAAGCCATGGTTTTCATAGACCCATACTATACTCCAAAAAATAACTATAAAGTCATTAGTAGTGTTACTGGGTTAAAGGGAGAACAGAGGTATTTATTTGATACCAGTCCTTTATATCTATGAGAAAATATTGACATTTGCTAATTATTTGCATAGTTACTTTAAAGGGAAAGCTTTATAAATATGAAGGAATTATCAAATAAGATAAGTTTAATTTATTTACATATTTTTAATTTTTGCTGCCTGGATTATAAGAGTGCAAATGGTAAGTAAGGAATCAGTCTTTTATCAATCAGATTCATTCTGTAATAAAAGTTTAAGAAGAAATAAGAAAACCAGGCATTTTCATACAGTATTTTTACGTTGTTACATGCCTTTCAAAAAGATAGACATCAGCTATTTCATTTTGTAGCACTTGTTCAACAGGAATTACATGTTAGAAATCTATAGTTTTGGGCCAGCAGGTGGCATGGTGGTTAAGGTGTTGGACTCCCACTTGGCTGACTACTCCTGTTCAAGTCCCAGACCTGGCAGCTTGCTTGCTTGGATTTTTTTGGAGAGGTTTCGCTATAGGGCGTGTGCGCTCACCAGAAAGACAGAGACAGAAAGCGAGAAATCACCCCCCAGCATGATGGCCATGCTGCAATCCCTTCTCCTCTGTTCTCTTCTCGGGGTCTTGGGCACGCATGCACACACACACACACACACACACACACACACATACACACACATACGTATGCAGCATGAGTTTAAGCCACTAGGTCTGAGACTCGAACCACAGTCGACTACGTAGGAGTCCAGTGACATAGCCATTATACTAACTGCTGGTCCTTGGGTCATAAATTTTTGAGGAAAACCAAACAAGATAGGTGAGATTTACATTTTGTATTTTGCAAATGTATATTTAAAGGAAATGTTATGTAGATCTTTATTTTTTAATTTGCCAGAGGGTACATGTACTCCCCAGAGAGAGAGACACAGAGCGAAAAAGCTTACCCCCCACCCCTGCATCAGGCATGGTCACACCACAATTCCTTCACTTTTATTTCTCTACCCTGTCTGGATTTGGGGCACAAACGCACGTGTATTCAGTGTGTTTCTCAAGCTGCCTGGGTCAAGATTTGAACTGTGTAGTTGGCCATATGGGATCCAGCTATCTTTAACCATCAGGCTATGGAGTTGTCCCACTGTTTAGGTCTTTGTCACCAATACTACTTGACAGAATTTTGGTTCCCAGCAAAGACTGGATAAGGAAATTTTGTT